CAACGAGTCGCGAGCTGCCCCAGGCCTTGGCCCCACCTAACACGGGCCCGCTCTGCTTTCCACCCTGGACAAAGTTTGTCCCTAATCGCTCCCCGTTGTAGTCTTAACTGGCTCCAGTCTCACTGGCCCACTGGCCCCGACACCGGCCCGATCTAAAGGGCAGGAGATCCGGAAAGTCTGGGATCAACGCCAGCGCCAGCCCCAACCCCCTCAAGAGACACTAGTTTCCCCGCGCATGCGAAGGGTTTCAGCTACAAGATCTCCCGGCCTCCGGAGTTCAATCCCTCGCCAGACCCCTCCCTCACATCGTCCCCCCCCCCGAGGAAACGTGACCCTTGCCGGCCGCCGTGGCCGCGCCAACCTACTCGTTCGCCTTCTCTCAGCGCACGGTTCTCTCGGCACTCGCACCGCTACCCAGGCTCGGGGGGCGGGGCCTCGATGCGACCCAGTGCGCTTGCGCGGACCGCCCCGGGCCGGCTTAAAGAGTAGGGCGGGGACAGAGACCCATATCTTTGGCGCTGAGTTGCGGCTAGGAAGGGGCAGTCGTTGAGAGGGCGGCCTTGGCGTTAGGAGTGTGTCGGCTGCACCCTGGCGGACGGACCTTGGGAAGGAGGGGAGGGGACCGTCGGGGTCGGCGGGGAGCTACGGGTATGCATAGCTCTTAGAGCGTCAGAGCTGGCGACGTCCAGTGGAAGATGGGGAAACTAATGCTCAGAGCGGGACACTCACTACCTCAGGGGCACACAGTTGATAAGGGTGGGGTGGCCGTGGTAATGGAGGCCCCAGGGAGGGTCAGGGGCCCGTAGTACGTCAGGGGCCCGTAGTACGTCAGGGGCTGAACCTGTATTAGAACCCAGGCTTGTTTCCCAGCGCAGCCGGGTCCCAGAAAAATCCCCCTGATTTTATCTATTTATTTTTTTAACCTGGAATAGCAGCAGGGAAAGCATTAGAGGCAAAAGGAAAGGATTTTCATTTTTCCAGGAATGCTGAAGTCAGGACTGTTTGAGGGGAACCCTGTGTTTGTCAGACTCGCCAGTACCGTTTACATCAGATCTGGGGCAGCTTTTAAAAATATGCAGATTCATGACTGCTACCCCCACCTCACTGCTTGGCAGCCCACAGGTGCCTTCCCTGTTTCTTCCTTCTGGGTTGTGATAGGCTTGTCTGCAGTCCGAAGCACCTGATAAGAATTGTAGTTAAATGGAATGTATCAGCCCAGCTTCTAGGGAATTAACCATGAATAAGACACAGCCACTGCTTTCAATCTGATAAGGTAGGCAATAAACAGTGCTTTTCTGAAGGAATCAGGGATGGCTTTTGGGGTCTTGAAGGATGGCTAGGAAGGTGTAGGTAGTGAAGGAGGTAGGGGTAGAGGTGAGAGGCTGGGATGGGGACAGTGTTCCAAATTGCAGGAACAAAAGCAGCAAAGGCTGGCTGGGCGCAGTGGCTCAGGCCTATAATGCCAGCACTTTGAGAGGCCGAGGCAGGTGGATCACTTGAGCTCAGGAGTTGGAGACCAGGCTGGGCAACGTGGCGAAACCCCGTCTCTACTAAAAATACAAGAATTAGCCGGGTATGTTGGCCCGTGCCTGTAATTCCAGCTACTCAGGAGGCTGTGGCGTGAGAATCCTTGAGCCCCGGAGGCGGAGGCTGCCGCGGCTGAGATCGTGCCGCTACACTTCTATCTGGGTGACAGAGTAAGACCCTGTCCTAAAAAAAAAAAAGAGCAGCGAAGGCATATAATTCTGAGGGTTGTTCGGCTCGTTTTACAGACACAGAGGAGTTTGGTGTGGATAATGAGGAAGGGCCTAAGGGTTCCAACAGGACTTTAGGCGCTTAGGCTTGGAGAGGTAGCCTCAGATGCCAGTTCCACTGAGCAACAGGAGCTAAGGGCTTTAAGCAGGGGAAAGACATGGTTAGTTTTGTGTGTTAGGCACTGATTACAGCGTGACAAATGGTTTGGAAGTGGGGAGATGGGCTAGAGAACGAGCAGAGTTAAGATGTGAGATGATGAGGCCGTAGCCAGTGCAGCAGCTGTGGAGATGCAGTGAAGAGAACAGATCAAAGAAATTTAGGAGTGAGAACTCCTGGTGATGGTAAATCAGTGGCCCAACCCAGGGACCAAGATCTTTTCGACTCTTTTTTTTTTTTTTTTGAGATGGAGTTTTCGTTCTTGTTGCCCAGGCTGGAGTACAATCGTGCAATCTCAGCTCACTGCAACCTCCACTTCCCAGGTTCAGGCCAATTCTCCTGCCTCAGCCTCCCAAGTAGCTGGGATTACAGGCGCCCACCACCACACCTGGCTATTTTTTGTATTTTTAGTAGAGACAGGGTTTCACCATGTTGGCCAGGCTGGTCTTGAACACCTGAGCTCAGGTGATCCACCGACCTCAGCTCCCAAAGTGCTGGGATTACAGGCGTTAACGACTGTGTCCGGTCCCTTTTGACTCTTTAAATAAAGCATGTACATTATCTGACTACAGGACGGGCTGAGTCCTCCAGTGTCCCATGTGTGGTCGCAGGATGGGGGGAGATGGTGGTAGATAGGTGTCTGGTTATTACCAGAACAATGTTTCCTGATGTCCTTTCCTTGTTGGCTTTTGTACCTGAGGGGATAAGCAGCTATTAATTAGAATAGGCCCCAGGTGGCAGGAAGAGGTTACTGGGTCAACCAGGAACAAAAGAAGCTATTTCTAGTGCAACATGAAATTGAAAATAAAAAGCATGACCCGGGGTTCTCTGTGCAGGTTCCCCTCTTCCAAGATGGGTGCCAAATGACGAGTATCAGGTGTCTATGGCAAGATTTGGGGAGGATCCCAGACCTTAACAGCCCTTTGGTTGAATCCTCTCACAATGTGGCAGGTAAGATGTCTTTATTCCCATTTTGTAGATGTGGCATCTGAGCCTCAGAAGTTACGTGACTTGTTCAAGGTGACCCAGTTTGTGGTAGGACTGGGAGTGAAGGACTCTTGACTAAGAATCTTTCCAGGGAGCGTTTGCCCTTTCTGCACCCTCTGCCTGGGTGCACTCCTCCAAAATCCTGGCATGACTGGCTCCTTTGGTCATTCAAATATTTCATCCCTGGAGGCTGCCCCACCCTATAAGTCTGTATCACGTTATCCTTTGTCTTTTCTTTTCTCTTCCTAGATGGAGTCTCACTCTGTTGCCCAGGCTGGAATGCAGTGGCGCAATCTCAGCTTACTGCAACCTCCCGGGTTCAAACGATTCTCCTGCCTCAGCCTCCTGAGTAGCTGGGATTACAGGCATGTGCTACCATGCCCGGCTAATTTTTGTATTTTTAGTAGAGACAGGGTTTCACCATGTTGATCAGGCTGGTCTCGAACTCCTGACCTTGTGATCTGCCTGCCTCTGCCTCTCAAACTGGGATTACAGGCGTGAGCCACTGCGCTTGGCCTTGTATTTTCTTCATAGCAGTTACTCATATCTGAAATTGTTGCTTTTGTCTGCTGTTTCCCTCTGCTAGAATGTGAGCCCCATGAAAATAGGGGCCATGTCTGTCTTGTTCACCACTTTACCCCCAGGACCTATACTAATTAGTGCCTGCCACATGGCAGATGCTCAATAATATTTGCTAACCAATGGAAATAGGTTGGGGAGAGAGAAAGAGAAGGAAACCATTTAATGAAAGCTGAGGATGTTTTAAGTACTTCTCACAAATTGCCTCATTTGATCCCTTCACAGCCTTTCAGGGTAGAAATCGTATCTCCATTGGGTGAATAAGAAACCATGCTAAGCCAGGTCAAGTCCATGGTTGGTCACTTTTGAGGCTATAGACTCGTCTGAGATCTATTAGGCATAAAATTTTGCATCAACTACGTGGAGGAATTCACAGACTTTCTCAGGCTCACTTGGGGATCTCAGATCAAGAAACCTAGGATTGGGGAACTTGCCCAGGGGTCTTTTTGGCCCCAGGCCTTTCCTGGATCCTCACTCTCTGGCAAGGATGGAATCCATGTAGTAGACTATAGGGAACCTGATGAAGATTCCGAAGCAGAGGGAGATGATTTGCACTGAGTCTGTGGTGTCTCAAACCTGAGTTTGAATCCTGACTGTGGAGAAGTCATCTCACCTCTCCAAATCCCACTTTCCTCATTTTATTTTTTTCTTTCTTGTTCTTTTTTTTTTTCTCTTTTTCTTTTTTTTTTTTTTTGAGATGGAGTCTCTCTCTCTCTCTCTCTCTCACCCAGACTGGAGTGCAATGGCGCGATCTTGGCTCACTGGAACCTCTGCTTCCCGGGTTCAAGCAATTCTCCTGCCTCAGCCTCCCAAGTAGCTGGGATTACAGGCACACGCCACCACGCCCAGCTAATTTTTTTTATTTTTAGTAGAGACAGGGTTTGACCTTGCTGTCCAGGCTGGTCTCGAACTCCTGACCTCGTGATCTGCCTGCCTCGGCCTCCCAGAGTGCTGGGATTACAGGCGTGAGCCACCACCTCTGGCTTTCCTCACTTTCAAAGTGAAATCTGTTTTTTTCCTAACAGTAACTACCCTTTGTTGAGCTGGTCGCTAAGTGCCAGGTACTTAGCTGATGACTTTACAGTGCTTATCTCACTTTCCCTTACCTCCCTATGACATCAGTATCTTTATAGCCTCCATTTTACAGCTGGGGAAAGGAAGGCTTGAAGAGGTATCCTGACTTACCAGAGATCACAGCAGTAGTGTCAGCCGTGGTGTTCCCACACATGTACCTTGGGACATGCCATGGGCTCAGACTTCCCAACACTAACTGTTGAATCCATTGCATCCTCTGTTCTTGGGGTTTGTGGGAACATTTGAGTTTGAATTAGGTGAAGAAAAGTATGCAGGGATGTACTTCACTGTGAATGGAGGTCAATCCCTTAACTTTGTGTCTTGCCTTTTTCCCTGCGAGGGCCTCTCTCCAAGTCTGGACTGTGCCTTTTGTTTGGAACATCTCTGTCAGCCCCAGGGTCTGCATCACACGTGGTCTGCGTCTGTGCACATGGCTACTGTCTCTTTTTAGCAGTGACATCACCCCGCCTGGTACTGTTGTTTATGAGGCCGTCTCCCCACCTGGCTGGGGGCCACTGCTTTGGCCATTCAGAGTGGAATTCCTTTGTCTTCCAGCCTCTAGCACAGGCCTGGGCCGGCATTACTGCTCAGGAAATGCCTGTGGAATCAAAGTGAGGACTGTCCCAGGTGTTGAGGATTTACTGTGTGCTAGGCCTGTCCCTGACACTTTATATGTGTTATCTCATTTACACCCCCACAGTCATCCTGGGAGGGAGAAGTTACCCTATTTTACTGAGAAGAAACAGACTGATTGAAGTTGGGCTTTGCCTTAGGCCCACTTGTGATGATTGATGGCACCAGGGCCAACTCTAGGGTCAGTGCCCTGGTCGTGTTTGAGGTGTGTGGGCTGAAAAAGGGGAGACACACTTCAAGGCCCCTGGGATCCTCAGAAACCTTCTACTAACAGGTTCCTAGTTTGGCTCTGATTTCATCCATGAGGACACAGAAGCCTAGAAAGGGGAGATAACTTACTTATAGACCCTCTTCTCCACTTGTTATGTACTTATGTATCCACTTAATTTTGGCAGGATGGGTCTGTTTTGATTCACCATTGCACCACCCATGTAACGCAGTACCTGATCCAGGTTGATGCCCAGTAAATACTTTCACATTTTATTTATTATGAAAACACTGAGAAATGTATAAAAATTAATAGAACAAATACCTGTGTACCTACCATCCAGCTTGCAAAATGCAACACTGCTAATGTAGGTAAAGACCTTTTTGTTTCCCTCTATGACTGACCCCCAAACCCAAGAAATAAAGACTCTCCTGATTTGGTGTTTGTTATTCCTATGCAATGTTTATTGAGATATCATTCAGGCACCATAAAATTCCCCCTTTAAAGTGTACAATTCAGTGGTTCTTGGTATGTTTACAAGATTGTACAACCATTACCACTGTCTGATTCCAGAATATTTTCATCACTGCAGAAAGAAACCTCATCCCTATTAGTAGTTACTCCTCAATTCTCCTCCTCCCCAGCCCCTGGAAACCAGTAATTTACTTTCTTTCTCTATGTATTTGCCTATTCTGGACATGTCATGTAAATGGAATCCTACAATCTGTGGCCTTTTGTGACTAGCGTCTTTCACTTAGCGTGATGTTTGCAAAGTTCACCCATGTTGTAGCGTGGATCAGAATTTTATTCCTTCACATGGCTGAATAGTCTTCCATTGTACGGATACACCACACTCTGTTCCTCCACTCATCAGTTAATAGGCATTTGGGTTGTTTCCACTTTATTATTTATTACGAATAATGTTGCTATAGCCAGGAGTGGTGGCTCATACCTGTAATCCCAACACTTTGTGAGGTTGAGGTAGGAGGATCACTTGAGCTGAGGAATTCAAGGCCAGCCTGGGCAACATAGGGCTCTCTACAAAAAAAATTTAAAAATCAGTCGGGCGTGGTGGCATGTGCCTGTCGTCCCAGCTGCTAGGGAGCCTGAAGTGGGAGGATCACTTGAGCCCAGTAGGTCAAGGCTGCAGGGACCTATGGTTGCGCCACTGCACTCCAGCCTGGGTGACAGAGTAAGACCCTGTCTCAAAAATAATTATAACTATGCTGCTATGAACAGTCATGTACAGGTTTTTGTGTGAATGTTTTCTGTTCTTGTGGGTAGATACCTGGGAGTGGAATTGCCGGATCATACAGTAAGTATATGTTTAACTTTTTGAGGAACTGCTGTTTTCCAAAGTGGCAGCAATTGTATGACAGTTCCAATTTTTACATCCTCACCAATACAGTCAGTCTTCTGTGTCTGTGGGGAATTGGTTCCAGGACCTCCCATGGATACCAACATCCAGGATACTTAAGTCCCTTATATAAAATGATGTAGTGTCTCATATATGCTTAAGTCCCTTATATAAAATGGTGTAGTGTTTCATATAAACTATGTGCATCCTCTCGTATACTCTTTAATTTTGTTTTATTTTAAATTTAAATTTATTTTTATTTGTTTATTTTGAGACAAGGTCTCACTCTGTCAGGCTGGAGTGCCATGGTGCGATCATAGCTCACTGCAGCCTGGAACTCCTGGGTTCAAGGGATCCTCCTGTCTCAGCTTCGCAAGTAGCTAAGACTACAAGCGAAAGTCACCACACTGTCCTTTCCATGTACTTTAAGTCATCTCGGCTGGGTGCAATGGTTCACACCTGTCATCCCAGAACCTCAGGAGGCCGAGGCTGGTAGATCACCTGAGGTCAGGAGTTTGAGACCAGCCTGGCCAACATGGCGAAAACGTGCCTGTAGTCCCAGCTATTCAGGGAGGCTGAGGCGGAGAATCGCTTGAACCCCAGAGGCAGAGGTTACAGTGAGCTGAGATCGCGCCACTGCACTCCAGCCTGGGTAACAGAGTGAGACTCCGTCTCAAAAAAAAAAAAAGTCATCTCTATGCTACTGGCAATAACTAATACAATATAAATGCTATATAAATTGTTATACTGTGTTGTTTAGGGAATAATGACAAAGAAAAAAATCTGTACATGTTCAGTACAGATGAAACATTTTTTTCAAATATTTTCAAGTTGCAGTTGGTTGAATCCACAGATGTGGTACCCATGGATATGTAGGTCCCACTGTACTTGTCTGATTATGGCCATCCTAGTTGGTCATTGTGGTTTTGATTTGCATTTTCCTAATGACTAATAATGCTGCATATCTTTTCATGTGCTTATTGGCAGTTTGTATATCTTCTGTGGAGAAGAGTCTATTTAAATGTTTTGCTTATTTGTAAGTTATTTGTCTTTTTATTGTTGGGTTGTAGGAATTCTTTATATATTCAGGATAGTAGACCCTTCCTTATTTGT